CGAGTAACAACTCTGTTGTTTTGTTTGTTTTTTTTTGTTTGTTTTTTTTGTTTTTGTCACGTGGTATGATTTTAGCTATCACCTATAAATATGTGTTTCTCTTTGTCTCGTTAGCCAAACTTTCCCTGACGATCCGTTTAGGTGAAACCTAGGTAGGTTTGTCTGGCTCACTAGGTGTATCTATATATATATATATATATATATATATATATATATATATATATGTGTGTGTGTGTGTGTATGTGTGTGAAAAGTGTGTGTATATAAATATAAACATAAATATATGTATATATGTAATATATTATATGTATTATTATTTATATATTATGTGCGCGGTACTTATTAGAAAGCGCTCAATATCAGAGAGAGAACCAGCATATTTGGTTGGATTGATGTGAGTTTGTGACCCTGCTTTTGCGATCGTCAGACAAACAAACGATTGCAAAAGTGTGAAACCCAGGGTCATAAACTCACATCAATCCATCCAAATATATAATATATATATATATATATATATATATATATATATATATATATATATATATATGTGTGTGTGTGTTACTTTTTTGCTATTTTTTTGTAAACAAAAATGGCCGCGTCAATATCTGTTAAAGCCTTTATTCAGGTGTTTTTCTTTGATTAGTACGCCGATGATGGTTTCCAAGGCTTTACTCGAGTGGATATTAACGGTGAAGTGGTCATAGATGATAACCACGCTAATGACGTGGAGGAAAGTGATGATGACCCCTAGCAGCTACTATCATCCATGACTGACTAATTTTATGCAAGCTACTACCGACCATCGATATACCTGATCGCCTTTTTGAAGGTGAATTATTTTGTCTATTTATAAGCGACGAAATAACAACTTTATTCGCAAACGAGACAAATAAATATGTGTAAGGCGAAAGAAAGAGTAAAGGGTATTGTTCTTCCTGGGTTGAACTTGGGCAACCCATCACAAATTTAAGTTAGTTTAGGTTTGTTTTTGAATATTTAGTTTTCCTTTTTTGCTGTTAACTTTTTTCTTTAGTTTAATTCCCTATACTCTCCCTTGTTAGGTGTTCAGTGATGTCAGTTCTCTGGTGGATGCGAGGCACCTTTCATTTCGCGTGTGTGTTTTCGTATTTGTTGTATCTGAAAGAGTGCGTGTCCTTGTGAGTGTTTGGGATGAATGATTGTTTTTTATATTATTATAGTCTCGCATTGATTTCGTCCAGTTAATTGATGTTTCTGCCATATTTAATGATTATTGGGGGGTATTACTAACATTATTTCGTTTAGTTTCATGTAAATAGATTATATTTATATTTTAAATACTCATTAGGGCTAGTTTTTAAATTGTTACTTTATTCCCCACCACCACATACAAAGAATTGTGCATATGTGGACTATTTAGGTTTTTCATAGAGACAATGAGGTATTACGGTGGATGTAGTAAGAAAGGTAAGTAAGAGTTAAGACAGATGAAGACCGTCCTTTTCTCCATTCCCCATTTTGGCCTTGTAAATGAATATCGGGAAGTTTCCATCAGTCATTTCTGACTGTCGGACCAAACATTCTTGCTGTAACACTCTTGTTTTATATGTTTGTATTACTGTTTCTGTTAATGGATTTGTTTAACTCAATTCCTGTCTTGTGTCTTTATTTCTAGCCCCTAACAAGGCCACAACACTAACAAAGGACGGAAAGTGCGACACTTAGATCTGAAGATGCAGTGGGATGGCCAAATTTACATTCCAAAATCAATGCAGAGTATTAAGTGACAGTAAAACGAAGAAAAGAGTGCTAAACTTTTAAGTGATATCTGTCATCCTATATGGAATGCTGGACAATCTCATCAAAGATGAAGAAGAGACTCAAAGCAACAGAAATGTGGTTCTACAGAAGGATGCTGAGGATACCATGGACTAAACATGCGTGCAACGTTTAAGGTTTTTAGAGAATAATGGAAACGAAAAGGAAAAATATTGAACACCAGGAACAGGCAGTTGAAATTCCTACGGAACGTAAAGAGGAAGGAGGGCTAGGAAAATCTGATACTCATAGGGCAAATTGAGGGAAAGAGGAAAACAGTACATACTTGATGGGCTTCGGTCAATGGATGTTAAAGAGAATTTGAGAAAAATAACAAAAAGACAAGACATTAAAAGCTACAAGTGACAGGAAAATGTGGAGGGCCATGATCGCCGACTTCCTGAAGAGACACAGAACATAAAAGAGGAGAAAGAAAATATACTCTTATGAGTTTACTCCCTTTTCTTGATTATTATTTAATGAAATTGCTATTCGAGCGGCCAAATTAACCGCTCACCGATTATCCTGGTCAACACGATTTTGGTGTCAAGAAACAAAACATATCCCTTAGGTAATTTGATGGCGTGATTCTAAAGATTACCTTAGTTTTATATGGTTAGGTACCATTTTTTATGGTTAGGTACCATTTTTATGGTCAGCTACCATTTTTGCTGTACTGAAATAGCTCATTTTTAGAAAAAAGAGCAAAATTTAAATAATAAAGGTCGTTTTCAAGTAGGCCGAACAATTTCTGTCAACCAACTGAAATAAAATATTTTTAAGTGTTTTTGAGTAAAAAAAAAAAAAAATATAAGTACCGATATTTTCCACTTTATCACCAAAATTCAAATTAACTGATAAACTTTATCAGCCATACACTGTAGTAAATCATGATAATTAAGGTGACATAAAAAAAATAAAAGCGTAAAATCTTCTTTTTGATATTCATAAATTTATCCGATCACTACGACTGCAAACCTAGCGTATTGAAAGCATTTCGTTTTCACAGTTGGAAAGAAACTCCAAAAAAGACATCCCAATTAAATGCACTATTCCATTGTATATGATACTGCTGGAATATCAAAAGTGACTTAAATAACATTGAACATGATAGACAATCAAGAAAGAAAAAAAAATTAACATAATTCTTATGTTCACGAAGGTTTTATTTCAGCTGTTAGCTTATTGATATTGATTGTTAAATGATTTGATGAAAATACTTGTTTGTCTTGGTTTATACAGTCGTGTTATTTTAAAGACTTAGGCTCTGATTGTTATTTCAAAAAAATAGTATATCTAGATAAGCAGACCATTATTTGTTGGATATATATATGAATTGAGAGGCCTCTGCGAAACATTATTATGAGAAACATTGACATCGGTCAATCTCATATCTACAGAAAACAAATGAAAAAAAAATGATTTTTTTTTCCAAAACTGAGTCATTTCTGTACAGCAAAAACAATAGCTAACCAAAAAAAAGTAAGGTCATTTTCAGATTCAGCGCCCTCAAATTAGCCAAAAAAGATATTTCGTGTCTCGACACCATTTTGATTTTTTTTTGTTCACCAGCGTTATTGCATCGAACCGATGTGTCAATGAAGTCCCAGTCTTCCCTAGACTTTGTTGTTCATTAAAGACAAAGCTTGGCCACAATTTGTGGAAATAAATAGAATGGTTTTACGCCCGTTTTGTCGCTGAAATAATTTGTTCTTCCCACCAGTAAAAGTGGTCGGTGGTTGACGCCAGGATTACGAAAACGTTTTCTTTTCTTTTTTTTTTTATTAAGAAGTGCTCTTCTTCTATGCGACCTGTCCCTTCAGGAAGTGGTCGACCGTGGCTCTCCACGACGTTCTATCTTTTAGAATTCATAGTAACGTTTGTATTTTTACCATTCCATCCACTTTCTGCTCCAACATCCATGCGCATCAGCTCGTTTGTTCATTCGCTATCTTCCCCTCTTGCTTTTACATTCGATATGCTCTGTGAGTGTCAAATTCTCCAAGCCATCCATCCTCATTATGTGTCCAAGAAATATCATCTGACTCTATATGATTGTAAGTATAAATGTCCATTTTATGCATTTTCCTAAAAGCTACCTCATTGTTTACACCTTCTTCCATAGTATTCTCAGCATCCTTCTGTAGAACCACATTTCTGTAATCCTAAGTCTTCTCTTCATCTGCGAGGAAATTGTCCCGCATTTACTGCTGTATAGTAGGACCTATGTGACATTGCAATTCAATACTTGTTCCCTCTTTTTTTAATGAAATTTTCCAGTTTTTAATACCTTAGGTTTTCGCAGGCCTGACGTAAAAACAACTTTCTGATTTTCTTAGATGTTTTTCGCATCATATGCAGTTGGCTAAGCTTAATACTTTAATTATTCATATATAACACGCACCCCTGACTATTGGCTACGTAATTCTGGAAAAAAAATCCACTGAGTATTAAACTATTTCTTTTATTCATAGCAGCAAAATTTAAACAAAATTGACTATTTTTTCAACTTTTTATTCGGTTTGTATTTATAAAAAAATAGCAATTTGTGAAATTTTGTATGATTTCTTGAAGCACAAAATTCAGGCCGTATTCAAAGCAAGCACACGGACATCTGAACATAAAAACAGGAAAATAAAAAAGACAAAAGAAAATAAAAAAAGTAAGTGAAACAAAGCCATTCAAAAATGCTATCCGACGAGCGCTTTAAATGACAGCAAAGATGACACACATTTTGAGGATGACAAACAAGATGCCTCAGTGGACGTTGGCGACATCAAAGATGTCAAACACATCTACTCCGGTGACAACATTGATGAGACTGTCATGACGTCCATCTTAGACAGCAGTGAAGTAGGTTAGATGGGCTAGAAATGTATGTAAATATTTTATTTTACAATAAATACTGTGTTTGGTTAGTGACTGAAATTATTTATTACACATTACTTAGTTTGGATCATAAAACCGTCTCAAATAAGTCGACATATATATTAGGAAAAAAGTTGATTTTTAGTTCTCTTATATAATGCGCACCAGTAAATCTTCCAATGAATTCTTCACCTCTTTTTGCATTTTTGCTTCCTTATTTCTTTCTTTCCTTGCTTTTTAATCCCTTTCGTTTTTTCTTACATTTCTTTTTGTCCGTCTTTTCTTCTTTCTATTCTTTTTCCCTTTTTTTCTTTCTTTTCTTTTCTTATTGATAGCATTCTTAATTTTTCTTCCTTCCTTCCTTCTTTTCTTCCTTCTTTTCTTCCTTCCTTCATTCCTTCCTTCCTTCTTTTCTTCCATCTTTTCTTCCTTCTTTCCTTCTTTCCTTCCTTCCTTCCTTCCTTCTTTTCTTCCCTCTTTTCTTCCTTCTTTCCTTCTTTCCTTTCTTTCTTCCTTCCTTCTTTTCTGCCTTCCCCCTTTTCTTTCTTCCTTCCTTCTTTTCTGCCTTCCCCCTTTTCTTTCTTCCTTCCTTCTTTCCTTCCTGCCTTCTTTTCTTCATTCCTTCTTTTCTTCCTTCTTTTCTTCCTTCTTTTCTTCCTTCTTTTCTTCCTTCCTTCCTTCTTTTCTTCCTTCTTCCTTTTCTTCCATCTTTCCTTCTTTTTTTCTTCCTTCCTTCCTTCTTTTCTTCCTTCTTTTCTCCCTTCCTTCTTTTTTCTTTCCTTCTTTTCATCCTTCCTTCCTTCTTTTCATCCTTCCTTCCTTCCTTCCTCTTTTCTTCCTTCATTCTTTTCTTTGATGTTTTCCTTTCTTCTTTCTTTTCATTTCTTCTTACTTTCCCTCCTTCTTTCCTTCCTTCCTTCGTTTCTTTTTTATTTCATTTCTTCCTTTTCCTTCTTTTTGCCTTCCTTATTTTCTTTTCTTTCTTCCTTCTCTTCTTTCTTGCTTCTTTCCTCCCTTATTTCTTTTCTTCTTTCTTTCCCTCCTTCTCTTCGTCTCTCCTTATTTCTTTCTTTTCTTTTCCACTTTTCTTCCTTCCGCCTTTCCATTCCTACCTTATTTTCTTCTTTCCTTCCTTCATTCTTTTCTTCTTCTTCACTGTCTATTCATGTCCTTTCTTTCTATCCTATTCATTTTTTCTGCGTTAAATTCTTATTTCCTGCTCTCCTTCTCTTAGCCATAATCCTCAACCGCATTTTCTTTCATCTTTTTAATTATCTTCTTTTTTTCAACGTGTATATATTATTTTTTTCTTTCATCAATTACACGCCATAACATATATATAAAACAGATGTTCATGTGTCTGTCTGTCTATGTGATACCTTTTCACTCTAGATCCATCGAACAGACTTTGACCAAACTTGGCAAATACATTGTACAATGTAAGGGATAGGTTCTTAGCGTAAAAAAATAGATAATTTAAAAAAAAATCAATAATTGATAAAGCTGATTAAAAATCGGTAAGTTCAACTTCTTTCCACAGTAGGTTATTTATATAATGACAAGCTCAACGATACCTCATTTTTATTTCTATTCCATTGCGTATAGTAAAAAACTGCGAAAAATGAAAAATCAAGTTCAACACAATCGATTTCAACACAAATTTTAAACTAAATCTCCCTCAATTTTCAAGCAATCTAATACAGATTTCACTCAATTGTAGACAACAATTAGTTTATTGTTTAACAGTTATTTAACTTGATAATTGAGTCCACGCATATAGTGAAAACCTGCGTAAAATGGCGATTTTTACTGGTTTCTTTCTTATTTTTCGTTGATCTTTCAACCAATTTTCATCAAACTTAACAATTTCTTTATAAATGTATCCTCTTTTACATCCCTGGTAACACACTGACAAATTGAATTTCAAAAACTTTAAAATAATTGTGGTCTGAAATGGGTCTTCGTGTTGCCTCATTTACATCTTCATGTCCTCGGCTAACTTCGATTGAATAAATACAGACTACTTCTGTTATAGCAGTAACTGAATTAATTCAAAATGTTTTTTTTAAATAAAAGTACTTTAAAGTAATTGAAGAAGATAGACTCTATTACATCTAAACATGAGGCTGTTTTTGTTTCATTCTAATTGAACGCTTTTTCTGATCGACCAGCTAGGTATGACTGCTATCTCTTTATATAAAACGGATGATGTATGTGTCTCTGTGTATCTGTATGTGTGATACTTTTTCACTCGACCAAACTTAGCACATACATTGTACCATGTAAGAGATAGGTTATGTAAAATATGGGCATAGCTGTAGTAACATATAAATGTATGTTCTGGAAAATAATCAGCGATAGCTAACAACCCTACAGCACATTTAAACACGTTTACATTTCTTTGGCATACATTGAAATTTATCATCTGTTATCTTGCGCAGAAAACAAGTGGTATTATTATTTTTAAAATATTAAAACAAATTTTCAGATATTTAAGAAGATATAAGCAGATTGATTAATTTTTTACGGCTTTCAACACTTTCTCGTTATTTAAACCCGAAACATATTTTGAATTTCAAAATTTTTTTTTTTAGAGTAAATAATTCATTAACAATTGTAGAAAATAAAAATACAAATATAAGTCCTATATTTAATCCGTAGCTGGGGGACGACATTAATTTTTCCAGCAGCATCTGCGCTTAACTTAGATAGATAGATAGATAGATAGATAGATAGATAGATATGAATAGGCTAAGATAGATAGATAGATAGATATGAATAGGCTAAGATAGATAAATAGATATAGATATGAATAGGCTGAGATATATAAATAGATAGATAGATGTGAATAGGCTAAGATAGATAGATAGATATAGATATGAATAGGCTGAGATATATAGGTAGATATGAATAAGCTAAGATAGATAAATAGATATAGATATGAATTCACTATATATATATATATATATATATATATATATATATATATATATATATATATATATATATATAAATGAATATTTTAAAATAGATAGATAGATATGAATAGGCTAACATATATATAGAGATAAATAGATAGATATGTATAGCCTTACATAGAGAAGATAGACAGATAGAGAGATGGATAGATATGAATAGGCTATATATATATATAGATAGATATGAATATCTTATATATATATATATATATATATATATATATATATATATATATATATATAGATATATAATAGATAGATAGATAGATAGATAGATAGATAAAAGTATGAGAAAATCAAATAAAGTTGAAAAGAGACAAAAATAAAAAGAGAGGGAGAGTGTGATAAAGTAAGGGAGTGGACAGGGAGAGAGGAACTAAGAAATAATACAAACGTAAGTTTGAGAAAAGAACTGAAGAATTAAAAAGTAGAATATGAAAAAAGACAAAAAAATGTCGAGGAATTGAAGGAAGAAAATGGAGAGAATGATAAAGAGAGACATGAAACAGAATCAAAGAAAGAAAGAAAGAAAGAAAGAAAGAGAGTGAAAATGATAGACGAGAACTGTTTCTAAACATTGAAAAGAATCCATTCTTCACTCCCAGCATGTAAAAACAAAGTTTTAACCGTCTTCAACACTCAGTGACATTCGCAAGTGAATCGGCAAGAAATTTATCCAAAGAAACTTTCTTTTTCTAATAGAATTCTTTTAATGCAGAGATTAAAAAAAAGAATCCAGTCATCTCCGTTAACATGCCTATTTGATAGAAACAAAAAATGTCGTTGCAGACGACAGAAAAAAAAACAAAACTTTTTTTTTCCCATCATCCTATTAACGAAAGAGCTGAAGCAAAAAAATGCCAATAACCGTTTCAAATTTCTTTGTGATTGCGACATGTTGCAACTCTCGGAGACGCACGAATGCGTACAAATATTACGTTCACCTGGTTAGTCTAAAACCAAAAACTGGCCGTTAGAAGGAATGGAACGAAAGCAGCTAATTTTTTTTTTCTTTTTAATGATTAGAAGCACAGATCAACGGTGACAAATTTTCTTGTCTACTCTAATAAAAAAAAAAACGAATGTCTTTTCCTTGACGATTGTCATTTCTATGACTATTTTAAGCGCTTTCATCGCACGAGGAAATACAGACATTTTTAAATCAAAATTCTTTTCAGAATCTAATCAAGTTGAAACATCTTCAGAGATTAATGGAACTGTATTTTCGAAAATTACCATGCTTTGTGTAATGCAATAAAGAATGACAAAAATCTCCATCAACCTGTTAATTCAAAACACAAAGTTATTATTTAGTGTGCATGTTTTAAACACGTGCTCAGAACTAATAAAATAACGTAAAACTAGACAACGCGTTGTATTGTAAGAAAAGAGGACAGATAGCTAAGTTTATCACATAAAAATAATTCCGGCAATCTTGTTGAAAGAAATATGACTGACAAATTCGTGTCCAATTTAAATATAAAATCACTTTAAATTAATATGCTTAAATCTCATAAAAAAAGCACCTACAAAAGATAAACTTCTCCCTTACCTAATGATATGTCGCGGAAAGAGATATATTTGTTTGAAGTAGCAAAGTTGTTTTGGATTACTGTAACCGAGCAGCAGAATCTAATGGACTTAATGGGCGTAGGCAATAAACGAAGACAGTAGGCGTCGTCAATAGGCGTCCTCATTAGTCTGTATTTATGGCTGACACCAGCCAATCATATTACTGTGAGGAGGAAGCCAGGTGTATGCATATTCATTACATCACCTAAAATAATAAAAATCCCTCGTCTCATATCCAATCAATACTATTTCACATTCAATAACAATTTTTGAAAACAAAAATTTGGATTACCAATGAATTTCCTCTCAGTGGAGTGATGACATATATTTTCTTGGAATTTCTCGAGTCTTGTTTTTTTCCAAATTTTACCTACATCGTCAAATTACTTCCGATATACTGATGATCCTCTATTAATATATCCCAATGATACTAACTTACAGGATGTCGTAGATAAACTAAACGAAATCGAACACAATAGAATTTACATACGAAATAGAAAGAAACGATTACTTTACCTTTCTAAGACATCATGAGTTGGCAACACCCAAAAACTTTCTGACAAACCCAACGAATCAAAAAATATATATTATTCTGTCCACTAACTCTTCAGAACTAAAAACAATTTATCTAAACTCAACATACAATTTGTCACAACTACATTTAAAACAAAGATTAATCAATAAAAAACAAAACAACCAACGAAAACTTGAAGGAGGAATTTACTCTTTCAAATGCAGGAATTGCCAGAATTAATACATTGGAGAAACCACAAGAAGTTTAAACAAAAGTGATATAATAGAATATCATTGGCTGGTGTCCGTCATAAATACAGACGGACGTGTAGGTACGACAGAGTTTAAGTCTATGACGACGCCCATTGGACTACGCCATTGGCTATCCTATTGGTCTACACCTATTACCTGCGACTACGACGAGTACCAGTCGATTACTGCTACCGTGTACTACTTGGTTACAGTAGACAAACCGACTTAGCTACTTCGATCAATATATATCCCTTTCCGGGACATAGCAAAAAGACTATATGAACACAAAAGGAACATTTTACAAGACAACACACAAAACGCATTGGTTGTCCCCCGAAACTGCCCCCAATTTTGACACAGGGAATGCTATTTTGATTAAAAGTGAAAATAATCCATTGAGATGAAAATATCTGAAAAGTGCCTTGATCGCTAGTTCAGCAACAGTAAATTTGTGTCCGGGTTCTTAAAATATATCACCATTCTTGGTAGATTTTTTATTGTCACAACGTGAGATGGAGAGAAAGAGAAAAAGAATACAGATGAATTTGTCAAGGTTGAAAAAATAGTCTTTCAAAGATTTTGAAACTACCAGCGTCTCCCGTTTCGTGCGCATGTGTAGACGTGTCACTACCAACAAAGTCCAGTCCAATGAAATCCTAACGGATGAAACGCGTCACAAAGCCTTTTTCCAATTTGTCATACTACTTTTCAAAATAGACAGATAGATAGATAGATAGATAGATAGATAGATAGATAGATAGATATGAATAAGCATAGATAGAAATAGGTATGAACACGCTTAGATAGACAGATAGATAGATGTGAACCAGCTGAGATAGATAGATAGATAGATAGATAGATAGATAGATAGATATTTTGGGGAAATGGAGTCTTATATGCAAAAAAGAATGGATAAAACTATTTACATATAAACTACAACATTTCTACTTCTGTCTCCAATAAAAATTTTACAGTTTGATTAACTTACAATAACTGAGCTTTTGTCTATTATTATTC